AGCAATGAAAATTGAACTAGAAGGAACACAAACTGATTTCATAATCAGTTGATGCCTTAAGATAATAAAAAGTGAAGAAGAAATTTTAAGAAATTAAAAACCAATGACTTGAAAAAATGACTAATAAAGACAGTCAGAGAAAGTCCAACATTTACATTATATGAGTCCCAAAAGAAAACTAAAGCAATAGAACAAGAACTATACTTTTATGAAATATAAAAACATTAGAAACTATTGTACATAGTGAAAGCATGCACCATGTTTGACCTGAAGACATCAACCATGAATGACCAAAATATAGACATATTTCAGACAAATTACAGAACTTTAAACCCTTTGAATGGTTTCTAGCTCAAAATAAACGAATGATTTATGAAGTAGAGAACATTAGATTATCATCAAACTTCTCATCAGTAATGCTATATTACATGTCAGAATTGGGCTTTATATATAGGAGATATATATATATATATATATATATATATATATATATATATATATATATATATATAGAGGATAACTGGGGGTTTGATATGTGAACCATGCTTTCTATATCTAGAAAAACTGACTTTTAAGTTTAAAGTGACAAAAAATGTTATCAAGATGTAAATAATGTAAGATTTAAGTAATGCTATTCTCAGGAGCCTCTTTAGGAAACTACTAAAAAACATGTTTTGGACAAACAAAATGAGCTCCAAAAATGACCCTAAGACATTTATATAAGAACTGGTGGTAAGCATTCCAGATATAACTGTATGTAAAACTATGACTACATGAAGATTAAGATGAAGAGTAAAACATGTAACAGCTATTTGCTCTGTTAATAACAGTATACTACTAGTATACAAATGATAGGGGAGAATGGGAAGAGTGCAGGCAAACGCTTTTAAAATATCCATTAAATTTTATTTTTGTTTTTAGAATAGGTGTCATAATTCTGAGGCTACTGTGTATGAAACGTGAAATAAAACTAATGAGTAATTATGAGATAATCTATTTCTGTCACCTTCTGTGTTCTTGATAATTAAATCTTAATGAGGCAGGGAAGAAATACAGAAGTTATATGTAAGATATTAAGTAAAAACTCTGTGTCTTGAATTTAAATTGAAAACAGGATAAACCCAGGTAAAGTCCTCAAAACAATGACTAACTCAGAAGCAATGAGTATCATTGGAGTCTAGATTATGATCTTGAAACACTGTTTCTCAATAAATAAACCAGGGCTTTTTAAAGAAAATTATTCATTTGGAATAGGAATCATATAAGGGTTGCTTGAAACAACTTGTCATACCTGAAAACAGGGAAGCTTTGCCAAAGACTACTAGAGTCATGTCAAAAGAACCTGTGAACCAACTTAAAAAATCTCCCAATGAGCACATTTGGGATCCTTTGACCTACCATAGGATATAACTATAATGGATTAAAACCAATGAAATACATTTAAATCCTTGAGTTTATAGTGGGATTTTTATAGTAATAATTGGTCAGTTAAAGAGGCTGGGAGAAAACCAATTAATTACATAAAAACTAAGTAAATACATGAGGGAAGTACCTTATTATAAAAGTATTCCAACTAATAAAATTTTTTAAATAAACAAACCCCATAAATCAATGATTTAGGCAAAGAACATTAGTACTGCTAAGATCACAAAAAGTCAGACAACCAGACATTATGTTTCTGCTGATGAAAGACTATGACACCACCTATGACCTTGCCAAAGGGATCAGACCTGAGTCTGATGAAACTCTGGATCCATCTGACAACTTGAAAGAAATATAGAAGACAGAGTAACATGTGAACTATATACCATGAATGTGCACCTACAAAAATCCAGAGTCGCAGAAACTGTAGGTCAAATAGCTTAGAATCTTCTATTGTAAAGAAAAAAACGGAAAATGAGTTTAAAAATTTTAAAGGTTTTGCAAAATCAATCAAACAAACAAAAAAACACAACTAGATCTATTTATTGCTATGTCCTTCAGCTCCAAATTACTTAGCCACTGATCTGAACTCTTGTATTTCATATTAAAGTGTACAATTCTGGAATTATCTTTTAAATTAAAATTGTTAAGGCAAAACATTATCTCTGTATGTTTGAGTATTTAAATTTAATTTACTTTGATAATTAATTCAGTAAAAGAATGGTTACTCTGTGGAATTGAATGTACTAGATTTACAGAGTAAAACCACCAAAAAAAAGAAGCTTTATCAACTAATCTTTTTTCAATGCAAATCCTATGTAAACATGTCACCCATACACTTCCTTTTAAATCTTACATCTCTGATATGTTTATAAATAGAATGAACAACTACTGACACCTTCCATAGCTGAAAATTTACAATTTCAGATCTAAAAATGACTATCACAAAATAGATTTTTGTATTCTTCAAGTGTTTTAATCGTTATTTCAGGTGTTTGTCAGTATCTTTTGGAACCAGGAGAGGGCACTGTAGAGCAGTATAGCTCTAAATATTTGTGACTAAGAGTCAGAAAATGTCCTTTGCTAAAAGAAATGTGCAAAGCTATCCTACAGAATAAGGAAAACTGAAAAAATAATTAGATAGTCACTACAGGCCTTCTTTATTTAATACAAAAAAGAATGGTTAAAATATCTAAATATATATCTAGGCTATCAATTACATTAGAGATATATAGATGATAATGGATGGATCTAGATAGATGGGTAAAGAAATATAGATGTAGACATTGACATGTCATTTATTTTTCTTTGAAGAATATCCCAAAGCTGAATCTGAAGTTCTCCTGTTATAATATTTATTCTTTCACTACTTCTGCTGTTAGTTATAAAACCAGTTCTCAAGTACTCCCTAATACTGATTAGTAATGTATTTTGTTTTAATCAGTTCAAGTTTAGGACAAAGGATATTTAGTAGCCCTTTAGCAATCTTAGGTAGTACAAAAATAATTTTGGAAACAATGTAATAAACATTATCTCCAGTTTCTATAAAGGTTTTTCCAAACATAAAGAACAATGCTTTAAGTGTCAGCTGCTCAACTGCAGGGCAGTACATAACTGATTGAATTCAGACCATCAACTTACACTAAAGGAAATATAGTGAAGTCATGCCATCCTTTAAAGATCAAATAAGATTAGTGTGGCTCTCAGCCTTTTCCTAAAACTTACTGTTTTAGGGTCCCCATAGCCTGGGCCTTTCTCAGGACTGTGTGTGCTTAGGTATCAAAAGAGCAGAAGTGCCACTATGATGGGACAGTTCAGCTGAGTATTCTGTTTCCAAAGTGACTCTACAATATTCTTTAGATGTGCTGTTTATGTGAGGAAGTCAAATCAATGCCAGAATTCACATCTTCAGAGGGAAAGATTTAAGAAATTTTCATAATATGTCTTGGTAGACAGTCTTTTGTGTGCTACCCTGAAAATATAATTTCCAGAAAAAAATGACATCCACTTTTGTCTCCTTGTCTATACATTAATTTATTCTCTTGTGTTCTAATTAACAATGAAACCAATTCAGTTTTTCATTATTGAAAAAAATGAGTGTGCCACCTTTGCTCTTGTAAGGGAAATTACCAATTTGTTCAACAATCCTTCCCTTTATTAGAGATCTGCTGTGAAATATGAGGATTATATTGGCAGTTATGATGTTATCTAGGTTCAGTTGTAGCTGAAAAGATCAAGTTATGACTCCCAGTTCTCCAGCTATGGCCATATGGACATATTGGTAGGCATTACACTATTCATTCAAAGGCTTATTCAAAAAGTGGAGCTCTGTGATGTTGTACCTCAAGTTACGTAACTCTTGTTTGTAAGAAACTGGATGGTGTATTTTTACTGAATCCAGAATTGTTCTATTTTCTGTTTTTGTTTTTCTTCCCTCAACTTTGTTAAAACACAGTATGCCTTATAGTGTATCTCTCACTTGCTTTGCTAAAGGACCCACCTAGCTCAACACTTATAGTTTGCACCAAATTAATTTGCCCTGTGCATGCATTTCTAACTTCAGTCCTTCACCTACTGCTTCCTTGGCCTATATAAATCTTAACTATTCTTCAAGGCCCACTACAACTTCACTTCTTCAATAAAGTTCACTATTTCAGACATATCTATTTCTTCCTCACCCGAAGTCCTATAATCCCACTCATCTTTTCTATTGTACATATTGCCTAGCACTTTACTATCTACTGTATTGACTGTGTCTTGCCTTTCCTTTGTATCTAGTCTTTTCAGGTCTAAACAAGAACTCTGATTCCTAGTTACTCTGTATCTCCAATTAGGGACTAATCTCACAGTAAGTGCTCAAGAAATCTCATTTAATCTACTAATCAAAATGAACAGGTTGGTCTGAATACTTAAGTTACACATTCTAGTTACTTGTTATAATGAATCTTCTCAGGATAGTGTGCTTCCCTGTTCTTTCTTTGCTTTTCTCCTGCTCACTTTGGCTTCCTACACACCTGTCACCATCTGACTTCTGCAGCTGTCAGGCAGGCCAGCAATGAGTTTGGGGAATGCATCTGATTTTTAGTCAGCCTCCAGGACTTTTATTTCTTAGTCATAATTTCTTCATTGCTAACTAGGAAGAAACCTTGAAGACTATTCTTATTTCTCTCCATCCTGATTATTTAGATTAGTATTGTGCCACTGGGCAAAAACCTGAAACAGATGCAATGTGGATTAAAGAAATTTTACTGACCAATGAGAATAAGGAGTGCTATACTCATTTCAATGTTAAATTATTTAGAAACTGAATAACCCATCAACATGTAAGGTGACATTACTAGTGAGCTGTTACCAGTGCATTGCCCCCATAGCTATGACAAGCTTGTCCACAGTTCTGCCTAAATAAAAGTAAAAATAGAATAGAAAATCAAATGATAGAGTCAATCATATGATGATGTTGTACAAAAATAAATCTTGTTTAATGTTTTAATAGCGTTATCTGTTAAATGTATGTAATGATTTGTGAGTATATTATCCCTTTGTATTATAAGACTAAAGTCATATTAATAACTTTACAGCTCCGCAAGTCTGTTTTCAGCATCAGGGCAAGGAATCTTCTAGAAAAGGAGACTGCAGTCACTAAAATCTTAAGGTAACAACATTAAATGGTGATACACATTTAAACACAGTGGGATTATATTAAGCAAAAAAGAGCTTTTTTAATAAACTGATTTTCTGAGTATCAATATATTATACTTTCTGCTAGAAAGTAGGTTTGGTTAACTATGTACATATAAATTATGTCAAATACATTATTAATTTCTTTCCTGAAACAGTAATATTTCATTAATTCAATTGGACATTTATTTTATTTTCATAAACTATAATTATAAAATTTTACAAAAAGATGAAAAACTTACTTTTATTTCTATAAGTTTTATGTCTTTTGTGGTAGCTAAAGACATAGCTACTACAAAAAGATGAAAAAACTTACTCTAATTTTATGTTTTATATCTTTTGTGGTAGCTAAAGACATAGCTCTTTTGTTTTTCACAGTCTAAGTGAAAAAATGGTAAAAGGGTAAGCTTTTAAAAAGTAATTGTTATTTATAAATTAAGAATAAATTTGGTTAAAATCTATAAGAATCAAAAGCATATTCATTTTACAATGCTTATAAAACATTTTAATGCTGAGTTCTAAAATCTGCCTTGAAATGAAATATTAGAAAAGAAAATTAAGCCAGCTACTAAAGTATTTTATAAGACATAAAATAATAAGATCATTGTAAAAATGTGTAAGCTTTTTTATTGGTGTATATATTACATAGACACATGTAAATGACACATTAAATATTGGGAGGTAGAATGATGAACAATGTAAACAGATAAATTTATACCAGGAAGATTTATACTTCAAATCGGTGTGAAGGGAAAGGAACTTGTCTACTCTACTTTCATTAATAGGAACCCTCATTAAAGCATTTTCTCCAGAATGCATATCACTATAACTTGGATAACTAATGAAGAAATAAGGCTAATATATGATTTGAGAAACTATTTAAATTTTAAACACTACCTTAAATGTATTTGCCAAAACAATCCTAACTAATCAACACAATATTCTATGTATTCATTGTTTATATTAGCTGATAATTCATGCATAGAGTTGAGTATGTGTTGGAGTGTCTTTTATAAAATGAGAATAAATATTTCTGGAGCTTATATATTATCATTGAAGAATTTGATAAACCTAAAAAGAGAGATAAACCTAAAAAGTCTCATTGAAATAAAGAAAGGAAAGTTTCTAAACAAATTTATAACAACATGTGTCCCAACTTCTATATCCTTCCAACTGGCTCAATTCTAGCATTATGATCAACACTACATGAGTACAGTCTTGAACACTACATTGTACTACAGTTTTGTTTTGTTTTTTTATCAAACTGTAACTACATAAGTTCAGGCAGGGCCAACCTCTAGGGCAGGAATGTCAAACTAATTTTCATCAGGGGCCACATCAGCTTCACAGTTACCTTCAGACAGCCAAATGTAATTTTAGTACTGTATAAATGTAACTACTCCTTAACAGTTAAGCGAGAGCTTGGTGCGGCCGTGGGGCAGAAACAAGGGGCCAGCCAGGGTAAAACAAGGTGGAGGGCCAGATTCAGCCCACGGGCCTTGTGTTTGCCACCTGTGTGGTAGGGTCTTGAAGAGTCTCCCCAGCCTACACAAAACAGATCATGTGCTGGACAAGCCCTGCAGGTGTCAATATGTTCAAAGAGAATTGAATTCTGCCTCAACCAGAAATGGCCCACAAGGGGATTGTAATACTGTAAGCCTGTATTCAGAGTCTACCTGCCAAATAGGAACTGAAATGACCTTATTCACTTGTCCAGAATAACTCTTTCAACTAATGTGAATTTGTCCTGGGGGTTCCCAGAGACCTTCGGAGGCTAGGCAGATGGAGATACTTAGAAGGAAGCAATTTCCAGAGCCTCGCTTTTCTAAGAACTCTTTCTTAAATTGATCTCCCACTTTTTCTTTTCCACAAACTTTTCTTCATCCACCTCTCTCCCAGTTTACAAAAGAAACATAAAACTCTCACTCATAAATTCAAGAGAAAGGTGAAACTTTGTGTAGCATATTTCTCTGGAATGTAAAATCCTCCGGGTTGCCAAACACAGGGACTCTTCCCACATAAGTTTTTCCCAAAGGAAGAGAAGGAAGATCCCATTGGACAGCACCTTCTTGTCTATTCAGGTGGCAAATTTCTGGGAAACCTTCTTCCAGGAACTTACCTACCTTAGAGTTAAGCCTTAGAAATAACATAGTTGTCACAAGGGTATGTGTTAATATGTTATTTGAATTGAAAAATAAAGTTGGACTTTTTCTGAGAGATTTAGCTGATTGGTTTGGCAATTAGAACTGACTTTGTAGGTCCCCAGTGACACAAAATTGAAAGAATTGGATGGATGAGATTCTCCAATAAGAGAAAATTTAGTTGTTGATTTATAAATGTAAATAAGTAGTTTTTTTTATTAATCAATTGATTTCTTTTTTTAAGATTTTATTTATCTTTAGAGGAGAAGGAGAGAGGGAGAGAAACATCAATGTATAGTTGCCTTTCATGCATCCCCTGCTGGGAACTGACCTGCAGGGAACCGGCCTGCAACCCAGGCATGTGCCCTGACTGGGAATCAAACTGCGATGCTCTGATTCGCAAGCCTGTGCTCAATCCACTGAGCTACATCAGCCAGGGCTTGTACATAAGTAATTTTAAAAAGAGAAAATGTATGAGGTACCTGAGTAAAATATGTAAAATTATCAGGGAATAGGGACACCCTCAGAATTGCTTAATGCTGTGCAGTCTAAGGTACACCCAGAAGCAACAGCATTTTACTTATAGCACACTACAAAATGAGAGGGTACTCCTCGAGGCTATTTAAGCTGTGTCACCCAGTGAATCTCAGGACATAAGAGACCACAATTAGAAATAAAAATTAAGAGTTTTTTAAGAATACAAATTTGATCTTTGAAATAGCCATTTAGCTATTTTCTTCTGAAAAAAAAATGTTTTCCTCATCTCTTCTACACTAGTCTATGCAAGAATTAAGGCCATAGTTTGATGCCAGGTATGGTGACCCCCTCCTACTTTGTTCTTCTTTCTCAAAATTGCTGAGGCTATTTGGGATCATCTATGGTTCTATATAAATTTTGAAATATTTTCTTCATATCTGTGAAATATGTCATTGGTATTTTAATAAGGATTACATTGAATCTATAAATTGCTTTGGGTAGTATGGACATTTTGATGATATGAATTCTTCTAATGCATGAACATGGTATATGATTCTACTTTTTTGTCTCTTAATTTCTTTCTTCAGTGTTGTGTAGTTTTCTGAGTACAGGTCTTTTATCTCCTTGTTTAGGTTTATTCCTAGGTACTTTATTTTTCTTGTTGCTATGGCAAATGGGATTTTTATACTGATTTATATTTCTAATATTTTATTATTGGTGTACAAAAATACATTCAATTTTTGAATATTGACTTTGTATCTCAGTGCTTTGCCAAATTCACTTATTAGGTTGTTCACTTATTAGCAGTTTTTGGTGGAATCTTTAGAGTTTTCTGTGTACACTATCATGTTACCTGCAAACAATGACAATTTTACTTCCTCCTTTCCTATTTGGATGCCTTTTATTTCTTCTTCTTGTTTGATTGCTGTGGCTAGGACTTCCAATACTATGCTGAACAGAAGTGGTGAAAGTGAATATCTTTGTCTTGTTCCTGATGTTAGTGAGAAAGTTTTAGTTTTTGTCTGTTGAATATGATGTTGGCTGTAGGACTTTTATATATAGCCTTTATTATACTGAGGTATGCTCCTTCTACTCTCACTTTGCTGAATGTTTTTATCATAAATGAGTGCTATACCTTACCAAATACTTTTTCTGTATCTATTGGTATGATCATGTGATTTTTGTTTTTTCTTTTGTTTATGTGATATATTACATTTACTGATTTGTGAATATTGAACCATCCTTGCATCACTGGGATGAAAACCACTTGATCATGGTGTGTGATGTTTTTGATGTATTGCTAGATATGGTTTACCAGTATTTTATTGAGGATTTTAGCATCTATGTTCCTCAGCAATAATGGCCTATAGTTTTCTTTCTTTGTGTGCCTTTGTCTTGTTTAGGGATTAGGATGAAGCTGGCCTCATAAAACGAGTTTGGGAGTCTTCTTTTCTTTTGGATTTTTTGGAATAGTCTGTGAAGTATAGAGGTTAGCTCCTCCTTAAATGCTTTGTAAAACTCTCCTATTAATTTTTACAGTCAATTAATATTTGACAAAGGGGCAGAGGCATAAAATGGGGTAAAAATAGCTTTTTCAACAAATATTGTTGGGACATCTGGACAGCTAAGTGCAAAAAAATGAAACTCAACCACCAGCTTACACCATACAAAAAAATAAATTCAAGGTGAATAAAAGACTTAAATATAAGTTGCAACACTATAAAAGTCCTAGGAGAGAACATAAGCAGAAAAATGTCAGACATTCATGCAGCAATATTGAGACACCAATATGTTCCCTAGAGCAAGAGGCATAAAGGAAAGAATAAACAAATGGGACTACATCAAAATAAAAAGCTTCTGCACAGCTAAAGAAAGCATTAGCAAAATGAAAAGGAAATATTAGCAAAATGAAAAGGTAAATACATTTACCTGTACCAACTGTACAGGTAAATATATTTGTCAGTGATACCTCGGACAAGGGTTTGATCTCCAAAAAATATGTGGAATGCACATGATCCACTCCAGTAACACAAACAACCTAATTTAAAAATAGGCAAAGGACCCGAACAGACATTTCTCCAAAGAGGACATACAGAGGGCCCAGAGACATATGAAAAGATGCTCAGCATCACTAGCCATCAGAGAGATGCAAATTAAAACCACAGTGAGATACCACTTTACACCAGCCAAAATAGCCATCATAAACAAATCAACAAACTAGTGTTGGAGAGGATGTGGAAAAAAGGGAACCCTAGTGCACTCTTGGTGAGAATGCAGACTGGTGCAGCCACTGTGGAAAACAGTATGAAATTTCCTCAGAAAACTAAAAATGGAGCTGCCTTTTGACCTGGCAATT